CCAACCCCTTCCTGTCTGTTTCTTTAAAGTTTCTCATTATTTTTCTCATATTCACATTTATGATGGTTTAGTAACATGTGTGCCTTGCTTATTAAAATTCCTTCCATTCGTTTGAAGGCCTAGACACGGCACATGCTTGTGCACGTAGCCAACATGGCTTACAGAAAATGATGCGCAAGCAGTCTCGCCCTTCTGCAGCAAGGCTCCCATTTGGCCTTCCCTCCTGCATGTACCCAGATCTGTTCTGGAGGGTCCTTCAAACCTCCAGAGCAGATGGAGGAGCTGCAGGGGTGAAGGCAAAACTTCCTCTTCTGCTGGCAGGCAGCGTGAGACACGGGTTTGACTGTTACATCCTACTTAATTTGGTATGATTTTTATTTCCTTGTCTTGAATTGATGCTGGAATGTGTATGTTTCATGATGCACAAAAATGCCCCTGTGCCTACTGTGGAATTGGTGTGTAGGTAACTATGGAACATGCAGGTTTGAGTATAGGGGTCAAAGAAGTGTGCTTCCACGCAGGAAGTTTCCTCCTGGTGACCCTTGAAAAGTTCTGTTCCTAAAGAGTGTTTCGAAGCGTGAATGAGACTGGCATATGCAATATCAAGCAATATGAAACCATCCCTAGTGTGGCTTATATTGTGAATTGTCTTGAAGTAAGCAAATCAGATTTTGTTGTTTATCTGCATTGCATGAAGGCTATGTAAAAACGTATTCTGTCATCCTGCCAGAGAGGGAGAAAAGAACAGAAGTTGCTTTAAATGAAGAAGAACTTTTAGAATTTGATACCCACATGAATGCTGGATGCTGCTGTTTTGTAGCAGCTGCATAATACGGCAAGTCATAACAAGTGAACCAGCTCACTGTGTTTCTCATCCCTGGCTATGCAATTTATCTTGTTGCCACACAGTCTTAAGCAACTGTTAATTATGTAGCAGCCCTTTTGAAAGAAGCAGTCCTTAGCAAGCTGCCTCATATGAAGTCTGCCCACTGGTCCATCTTGCATAATACTGCTACACTGATTGGCAGCAGTTCACCAAAATTGCTTGTGGGATATATTTGTGCACCACCCTGGCTAATGGACAGGGTAGAAATTTAATAATCAAATCCTGTGACGCCACTCTGTGAATCAATTGTGCAGTGTAGGTTCTTGGAACATCTTACAGTGTTGCTGTTATTATTACTATTATTTTGCATTGCATTTATATTCTACCAGTTTCCCTCTTGTGAGGAACCAAGGCAGCTTACATAGTTTGTTTCATTGCAACCCTGTGACGTAGGCTGGACTGAGCTTGCTACTCGCTTGTGACCCAGTGAACTTCACTGCCATGCGGGGACTAAAACCCAGTTCTCCCAGGCATGACAGATGATTGGATTCACTGTAATGTGTTCTTCCAGTGTCCCTTGTAGCAGAACCCATCTTATCGTCCCCAACCCATTCCAGTCATTACTTGTTTTCATTTGCTGCCATTTTGGTTGGTTGGTTTTTGGAGCCTCAAAAATGCACAATGTTTTTGTTTGGTTCCAGAAAATTGTGCAACATTATTATTATGTTGTGGCGGTGGATCTTTTGCAAATGTGTGGGAGCACGCTTACAACTATCTGAGTTGTCTCTGGTCAATTTCATTCTTAAAAGATGTAGTGCACTAGGAAACAAACCGACATGGCAAGAGCGCATATAGGGAAATTTTCAGTCCAGATTTCATTCCTGTCGTGTCGCTCTCTGGCTGGTTCCTACAACCCATGATAACATTTACCTTCTGGGTTTGGATGACACCCCAACCTATCATTGGTTGAATAACCCCTAGAACAAGCCAGGTGTGGTCAAGTTGGCTTGTTTACCCCAAAGAAGCCACACTGCAAGAAGCAATCTGGGTTCAGGCGATACCACCACAACCACTTACCCATGACTGGTTGATCTCTCCTGTGACCCAGGTCAGTGGATTACAGTAGAAGGGAACAAATACATATTCTGCTTCTCAGATGGGTTAAAATTGCCACACCTTCTCAGCCCAGAGGGAAATTCTCACTCTTGGTTAGTAGCAGTTCTCGACACTTAGAACAGTTCTAGCCACTTTAGAGAGTTTGATGTAGTACCTTAAGAAAATCTATGTCTCTGATGCTGCTCAGAGGATAATTTAGGCATCAGATAAATGAGCATTTAGGGAACAGTTAAGCTCATCTATTCTTATTTATAATCCTCGGGCTCAGTACTAACATTAGCTTCACTGTACATACTGGTCTCTTAAAGGACTCACTGCAAAATGGAGCAGCAGGGGCTCAATAAACCTTCTAACTCGTAGTGAAAAATTACTCTCATCTGGTGCACGTGTCGCCCTTCCTGCAACATTTGTAGGGACAATTTTAGTAGTCCAGGAACAAGATGCCAGTGGTTCACCTGCTTCCCATTAAGTCAGGGATGGGCAACTATTGGGCCTTCAAGGAGGTTTAGAATACAACTCCCATCACTCTTTAACATAGGCTATGCTAATAAAGGGAGATGGGAATTATGGGTCAAAATATCTGTAGGTCCGCAAGTTACCCACTCCTGAAATTCTGATACTTGCTTGATTTGGCCTGGAAGAGGAGAAGAATTGGGAGTTGCCAGTGTCATCCTTCAAATAAGAGAAACTTTTTTTAAAAAGTGAGAAAGGCTTGGTGGTTCAGTGCTGGATGCAAATATGTTCTGCTTAATACTTAACTACTGAAGAAGGAATTTTACCCCTGCATGCTTAATAATCACAACAGCCTTACATGCTCTTTTTGCCATATAATGCAAGATAGACTAATATTCATTTGATCAGAATAAGGCATGTGATAGCAAGAAATTAATTCACCTTTTGAATTGTGCCTGCTATACCTAGCAGCTGGATTTCTTTCAGTGTGCTCATTCTGCAAAAGTTGTATCTCTTGCCTTGTCAATCCATTTCTGTTGTTCTTGCGTGATCCTGTTTTTGTGACTGTGTGACATTTTCTTAATATGTGTTTAGCAAGTGATAATAGTTCTGAGTCATGGCTGAGTGTGCCTGGATGTTGGATTTAGTTTTCCCACAGCAAGACTTCATGGACTGGTACACTGAAATATGAGTCTGCTTACAGTTTCCATGCTGAGGAACAGAAGAATAATGGACCGCAAAACACATTTCACTGCTATTAGCTTTTCAAGCAGATTGAGCTATTCGCTAGGAGGAAAGTGTGTGAAGGCAATTATGCTTGTGTCTGGTCTTTGCCCACTTGCTGTTTCCAAAAATGAGATGGTTCTCACACTTTCCTCCCTCAGCCACCTCTGTCCTGGAGCAAAGGAGTTTATTTTATTGATTCTGGAAATTATCAGCCCATTTCCTAACGCGGAAATGAAGAATAGTCACATTGTCAGAACATAAAGAAATGCTTTGTGACATGTGGGAAACTTGTTAAAATTGCTTCATTATGCATGGGCAAATTGACATGGAACGGGGTAAAAATGGTAAAATAGATTACAGAACAGGTGGGGATTTATCAATGATGCTAACTGTTCACCTGAAGGTGTATTCCGGAAGGGTTTGTCAGTATTAATCTTCCCTTATGTAGGATGCCTCCTTACATAGGAAGCTGTTACAAACCTAGTGTGCCATCAAGTATTCTGTTCTTGTACTAGAGAAATGCCTGTTGCTGTGACTTGAGGGACAGGAAGGAAGTGAATAATGTTTCTTGGAGGGACGATTGGAGGGTGTTGCTGTGTGCACAATACATCTTGTAGTGGAAGGTGAGAAGAGGGACAAGCAGGTTTTCCTCCTGATGCATCATGTCCGCAAGAGCGTTTTTCTTCCTCCCACCAAGGTGTGCCCTTTCTGGTGTGCAGGATAGCCATTGTAACAGATACTGACTGGAAGGAGCCAACCCCAGTGACCCAGGTTTTTCCAGTGAGATGGTTTTGCTTCCCATCTTCCATAATATTGTTGGCTCATTTCTGGACTCCTGTATACAAAGGATGCTTTGAGCTCTGGGAGAACTGTGTTTATGATTGAAGTTGATTTTATAGCACACACAATTTCTCTCCCCTGCCACCCCCTGAACTTTTAATTTTCTCTCTCTTTAACTCAGTGATGATGCTAAACATCACAAGACAGCACCTCAAAACCTAGAAACATAATTTCATGTTCTGGGTCATAATGGTTGGGCTGCCATAGCTCGTTGGCAAAGCAGCAGCTTTGTACGTAGGTGGTTCTAAGACAAGGGTAAGCCTAGGGGAACCAAAGCACCCAGTGCTCATTCTGGTGCCCAGCAAAACATCCAGCTTTGCCACTTAAAACACCACACACACGCAATCTTACTGGCAGCTGATCTTGCTGTAAAATATTTTTGCTGGTGCTGAAAACTTCAGGCTTCCAAGGAGTAGTTGAGTGTGTTGGAGCTCAGACCTTTGCCTTGTATCCAGTCCTTATATTCAGGTTTCTTGTCCTTTGCTGAGCCTCTCATGGCAGCTGTTCAGAGGTTTCCAAATTGCCAAATGTGACCATGGCCCAAAAGTTTACCTACCCATATTCTAAACAAGCAAAGCTCTTAGGCTGGGAAGAGAGGGTAGACATGTGAGGCAGAAACACAGCCCAGCTAAGAAGATCTGGACTGGAAAGAGTTCTGACTGTAATTTTAGCTGACAATTGTTCCGGGAAGAGAGCTCTGGTCTATATGCATATTTACATGGTTCTAAATAAAACCTCTTTCTCTTCCTCAGTCAGATACGGCTTCACTCATAAAACTGAATGTACCCATGACTGATTCTAGATGTATCCTAAAAATGCAGTACAGTTAAACTTTTTTTTTCTTTTTAGCTTTGATGCCCTTATGCACTTGTAATGCACTTGTAATGCACTTGGGGAAAGACAAGGCCATAAAAATGTAAAATACTGCCTGTGTATTAGCAGCAACTTATTTATGAAGCTTGAATACATTTAGAGTGCACAAGGCTCACTTCATTACATTTTGATGTGTTTACCGTGGCTCTTTTTCTCCTCCCTCCAGGAATTCCAGAAAGGAACTTAATGACATACGATTTGAGTTTACTCCAGGCAGAGGTAAGACTTTTAATTGAAATTATGCTTTTATGGCTCCAAATGGTATTTCGGAAATTGATTTCTGTTTTATAGTTTTAATATAAATTAGCACTATGAAATCATTTGTAGCAACCAAATGTTTTATATTACACTACTTAACCAAACCAAAAGTAGTGCCAAGTATGTAAATTTTTAGTGGAATAGTTGTGGAGTGTTTGGTTTGAGGTGGAAGCCACCATGGAGATAAAGGGCATGCTGCCAGTTCCTCTTGATCTTCATCTGAGGAATTACAGTCCAAAGCAAATCTGTGGATAGTTGACCTAAAAGATTAACAGCATGTGCATTATTGATGCAACAATGTAATTGCCATGTCAAATGTGGAGCTGCACTCAAGTGGGAGACCAAGTTGCTGGTGGTACATCAGTGCTGCTGCATAAAATCTGGAAATCTGGGCATGCTCTTGACTTTGTAATGTGAAGTACCAGTTAGTGGCATAAAGTGTGGAACTGCCCTAATGGGTAAACAGTTCCAAAAGCCACGTGTCCCTATAAATCGCCACTTGACCCTAACACTTGCCCATTATATAGTGTAGTTCTCCAGAGACGCACAGGGGACATCATTCCACCTTCTGGTCTAGACAGGACCAGGCCATTGTCTCTTCTGGGGAGGAGTCACCCTAACCCCACAGACCAGATCTACTGGTGAGCCATTTGTTCGGACGCTCTTAGAAGCCCAGCACCTGTTACTTTGTAGATTTCCCCCCTGGGCCATCTTGTCTATCTTTCCCCCATTCCCATCCAACAATCTTAGACAGGGAGTGAAGTCTTTATCCACTTACTGTCCCAGGAGCTTTGTTTATATTTCTATTAATGTAGTTTAGTATTGTATTTCATATTAAATAAATATTTAAAAAGAAAAAATGCTGTTTGGCCACCAGCTGTGCAGCAAACACCTTTTGTACTCAGCCCTTTCACTCAGTCATTAGATGAGAACTGGTTGTGCTGCCCCTGCAACACCCTCCTCTTTCCATATTGGGCAGGAAGCAGGTGTAGCACTCTTCCTTGCCAGACTTTTCATCCAAATGCAGCACATGGGGGAGACAAAGGAAATCATCCCGGTAGAGCTAGGGCCCTGTTTGAACCCTACTGAAAAAGATGAAAGGGTGCTTTCTGAGGACAAGCTGGAAACAGGTGCTTTTCAGATTAGACTTTTTTCACCAGAAGTTTTTGTTGTGTTTTGACTGAAGCATATTGTAGGTGCCAGCTCTTTGAGACACTCCAAAACCAGAGACTGCTCAAGGCAGAAGGGAAGAAGGCAGCCTTCACGGAAAAGTTGGCCCAGATCCTTCAAGGAAGCATGGACGCCATCAGTTAGCCAACAAGCTTTATTCTTTCCTAAGTAAAGCTCTAGAGTTAGGGAAGTGACTCTTGTTGCTTTCCATTTGGCATCTCTTACCTCCAGAGTGGTTAGCTGGTAGATGGGGAAGAGAATCTAAAGGGTCCACAAGACGTATATGTAGAGGTGGACTTCAAAAGGATTTTGAAGTGTACGCAGTGTTCTGTCCTTCTGCGACCAACTCATTTTTCTCCAGAGCAGTTTTGTTCGGACAGAAAACATGGAAGGGGCTGCCAGTGCCTTTGAGGATGGCCTTAAGAAAATAACTTTCACGGCTGTCTTACTGGCTCTTCTCTGGACACCCTTCAATTCCATGTCAGGGGTATTGATTCCAACTCACTGACTCAGGCAAACATTTGGCTGCCATCACTGGGATGTGGATCCTGGTTCTCAGTCACAGTTGCTGAACTCATCCCTTGAAGGTGCTAAGTTGATTGAGGGAACTTTGGATGCTGTCTTGGTGGGAGTCAACAGCAAGAAAATCAGTGCTGATGGCCAGGAAATAACACAATACAAATAAGGCAAGAGCACTTTTCATTCCATTCCTGATTGAGTTGGTCTTCAATCCATCAAGAAGGAGCTTCCATCAGTTATTCCTCCGCCTCGGACAGCAAGGATGGGAAGAAACATCAGTCAATCTCCAATTCAGCAGTGGAAGTGAGGTTTCCAAGTTTTTGTCAAGGTTTTCATGCAAAGCAGCTGTTGGAACAAATGGTGCAGAAGAACAATGGCTTCTTTATGCATTCTCCCAATTCTTCTTCCTCCAAGGGTAATTCACAAGATCAAGGCAACCATGGCAAAGGTGGTTGCGCCAGCACTGGTTTTTGAACCTGGTCAACCTGACTGTGCAGACTCCATGGTGTGCTAAACTGAAGGGTTTCACTTTTTGCGGGGCTAGTGCTTCATCCTTGACTGGAACCATTCTAGATGCTAGCTTGGAAACTGAATGGCAGTGGTTAAAGAGTCATGGTTATCTGAATAATTTTAATGACTGTAATTATTTATATTTCTATACCACCCCTTAGTTAAAGCTCTATTGAACCATGCTGGCAAAAGGAGCTCTATAAAGAGGATATATAATCTTACATGGATGACCTGCTTGCTATGGTGCAAAGTCAAAGGGAAAGGCCATCCTCTGGAGGGAGTTCAAGAAATCCTGGGGTTCCTTCAAGCCTTAGTACAAACACCATCAATAACAAGCAGCAGCACTCAGTAGTGTTTTGCAATGTGAAGGCCACCCACTGTCCCCCATTCCCACCTGAAAAGGTTCATGAATGGTATTATTCTTCATAACCTTGCCATAGTCTACTACTTCTCCACTTGGAATCTTACTCGACTTCTGACTGCCCTCATGGGGGAAACTTTGAGCTTTTTGCCTTATATTCCTTGAAGCTGTTCATGCTTAAAACTCTTCGGCCTGCCATGTCTCAGAGTTGGGGATCCTTCTGGCAGACCCTCAGTTGTGCATCTTTCACTGTGATAAAGTAATCTGTTTCTAGATACCCCATTCCTCCCTAAAATGAATTCTTTGTTTCACACAACTTGGGAGACTAACCTGTCTTCTTTTTGTTCTGGATCAAGCTATCCTGAGCAAAGGAGTTGGAATACCTTAGATATGAGAAGGGATAGTGCCAATTTACAGAAGTTCTGTCTCTCTCTTTGTGTCTTTTGATGCTGAGGTCCTCAGAGAATGGTAGGTCAAACTTCTTTGAACTTCTCTTCTTAAAAGTCCATGAAGGACATTCCACCCAACTTTTCTCAAGGACCAGCATTTATTCTTTAGAGTAGGTGTGTTTGGTGTGAGACACACCTTCTACCACTGTTGTGCATGTGAGGACCTAGGCAGGGATTCTTGGCTGTCCTGCTCACTGTTTTTGATTTGTTCTCCTCGTGGTCACATCAATTGTGGCTTGACTTACCTGGGTATGTTTGCTCTGTTTGCTCCTCTTTGTACAGATCTGGGGAGTTTACCTGCTCTGCCTGCATGGTCTGGGAGGTCAGGGTGACCCTGCAACACTTTGGCCCTGCCCACATGCTCCAGAGGGAGACACCGTTCCTTAGATGAAGGCATGCCCTTTGTGACCCCCAGAGCAATTCCTGTTTTTTCGAAATTGCATAGTCCAAATCAATTGTGAACACATGCTTTCAGCAAACAAGCAAACCTGCGTGTACTCAGGGGAAGCGTGTGCTCAGCTGGACTTCTCTTTGTAGTTTTTATTGCAGCACAACTGACAGCTGAAGACACAGTCCTTTTGTTTGGTGGGGGGAGGAAAAATTGTGTAGCAGCGTGTGTCCAGCTGTCAGAGCGTCTGTGGTGAAATCTGTTAAAAGATCCAGCTGTGCACACAATTCTCCCCTGAGCATGTGCTTAGTTGCATTTTAAAACTCCGGCATCACATGCTGTCAACCAGTGGGGTTCCTCCTCTAGCAGTTAGCAGAAAGCTTCTACTTCTTGGAGAAGCAGTGTTTTCATCTTTGCACAGAATCAGCAATTTGGTTCTGCTTGTGCAAGGGGTTATACAAGCTGTTCGGCATATCATTGCACATGGTGTTACGCGACGTACTATGGACTTCATTGGACTAGGTGTGGCTTCTGTCAGCAGTGTGACTTCTATCAGAAATTATGTAGCCACTAGCAGATTAGTGCTATTATTTTTCCATTAACATAATACTGGTTGTAATCCAGAACTAGCACAGGAAGCACTTGTTTTGATAAAATTATGATGTATTGTGTAACAATTTTCAGTCCATCTCTCTACTGCCTCATGCAACACTTGTACAGTGCCGTGCAAAATGCTCTGTGCAACCAGTTGTGCAATGCCTTGGGACGCAATGGCTTGAGCAACACATTGCACAGTAGTTTGCACAACAAGAATCAAAGAATTGGATTTCTCACTTGCTCAGGGATAAAAAGAGTGCTTCCATAAGCAATAGGAGTGTTGCATTACCAGAATAGCACCACAGGCTACAATCCAATTATTCAGGAATATATTGATTCTTGACTAGATTGCTGAAATGTCTTAGCTTTTGAAGGATAACACAGATGGGGAAAAACACTTAGTATTCCAAAATAGACAGCGGCTGTGTACATTAATCAGCACCTCTGGGCCACAATCACATCCTGCCTTGCCAGAATTTGTTATCGTGCTGCCCTTCCTCTGCAGCTCTGATGCAGCATTTTATGTAGACCCATCTCAGTTCCTTGGGGAGAGAATCTGTTAAAAGTGGGAGGAGGGGAAAGGAACCCATGGCAAGCAATCCCTGCTGATTTCATGGGCCCTGTTGCACCTCTGTATTCATTTCAGTAAGGATACCTAATTACATTGCTGAGCAGAAGTTCCAGTGGATAAATGAAGGCATCGTATCGAATTCGTGAAGAACTAACAATTAACCCTGTGGAGTTCTGTGGTGTAGAAAATGAGATAGTGACTGAACACATGGTGTATCTAATGAAGATAGTTTTGGTTTAAGCATAGTTTGGTAATGGGTGTTCACAGATTAAATACACTTTTTAAACAAATTGCCCTGGCATATTGATTTTTGTTTTTCCAGTTTTGTCATGACTAACGCATATTCATTTCACGTTTTTCACAGACACAGCAGATGGTGTATCTCAAGAGCTGTTCTCTGCAGGCTTGGTTGATGGCCATGATGTAGTTATAGGTAAATTATGTTTCATTTTGGAGTTATGGGGTTGCCTCAGCTCAGTGCAGCAAATGGATAAGGACCCATTCAGAATATTTCCCATCGTTGGCTTTTTACAGAAAGACTCTTGATAGTGAAATCTCCCTTTACTGCCATCTATTTACAAGAGAACTGGCAGCACCTCCAATATAAATAGAGGATACTTTAAGCACTTCAGTATGGCTTAACAGAGAACTATAAATGCATATATATTAGCTTCACAGCTAGTCTTTGACTTGCACCGGAGTTCTTATTCAGTAACCAGCATCATGCTCAGTTTCCTTTTTAAATGCTTTTGCATATTTGGCGTTAAGAGCCATGCATGTGCGTACGTCCTTCAATTCTATCATCTCCCCTTACCGAATCATCCAGAGTGAGATCTTTGTGCAACTGCTCCTTATAGAAGTGCCGATGTCTCTTTGGGCCCCCACTGTCCTTAATGACTTCCGTAAGCTGGGGAGAAAAGGAAAGCAGTTTCTTAATGTTTACAATAAGCCTTTTCATTGGGAGGATATCTTGCAAATAAGAAAGAGTGCAATTGAAAATAGGGCCTATCCAATATAGTTACTAAAGAGAGAAGGTTCCCAGTTTGTTTCAAATCTCTTGCCTCTGGTGAGAAGTCTGGGCTTTGTTTTGACAATCCCATCCTGAAAAGGAGTCAAGGCAAGTCTTCTGCTTTAGTTTAATCAAAAGGGCAGAAAGAGTGTATTGTTATCTTCAGTCCACTCCCATTCTCTTAAATCCAGGTAATGTGCACTGGACTATAATCTCCCCCGCCCTGAGTCTTCCTCCTTTTATTCCGGAAAACATTCTCATGCACCACACTTCCTTTTGGATGCTGCGTTCAAGGGAGGTCTCTTAATAGATGGCTCCTTCCCCGCCATGGATGGTGAGAGGCATACCAGAACACACGTGTGGTTCTACTTCAACCTTTTTCAGAAACTTAGAAGCCGTGTTATATGTTCGACTGAAATGAAAGATAATTAAACTGAGCCAAACACGTTCCTGGAGAACATAACTTTTTGTCCAGGTTATCAGAAAATTAGAAGCCACATCAGATGGCTTCTCCACTATGTTGAATGTGGAGATGTGGCTACCTTGTTTGTTGTGTACCTCTCTTGAGTTATTGACCTTTCTTCCTGCCTCTCTTCTCAAAATCTTGTTCTTGGTGCAGACCAGCCTTCCCCAGTCTGGTGTCCATCGGGTACATTGGACTGCAATCCCCATTATCCCCAGCCAATATGTCAGTGCTGATTGTGGATCTTGCGAGACTTGTACTCTAATGTACCTAGAGGGCACCAAGTTGAGCAAGGCTGCTTTAGAGATTAGTTCAGTTAACCTTATTTTCAGGAAGGAACAGATTCTATTAGTTCTGCCCAACAGAAAGCAGCTGATAAATTGCATTCCATTTTTCAGCTGAAGCATGCAGAAATTCAGCCTGTCCATAATGTGAATGAAAACAAAACTTTGAGTTCTGTGAAAGCCTGGTGAGATTTGATCTTGGCATCGATTATTTTAAAAATTCATCTTGGGTACTGTTTGGGAAGACAAGGGAATGAGATGGTCAGTAGCATTTACTTCTGGCACTTTTTCCTGATGTTATCTCAGCCACTTTATAGAAGTAAACTGGCAACATAGGACAGATTCCAATTCAATAATTTACATTATTGCTACATAATTTACATTATTTCTTGTGTTGAATTGGGTGCTGCCTATATCCCACAACAAACACTTATGATAAAAGTCTAATTGTTGTATACATGGATAAGAACTATTTGAGGAAATTCAATTCAATCCATAAAGTTTTAACTCGGGTTGCCTGAGGTCAAACAAGATCTTATTTCAAGATGGAAATCACAATAGTACTTGGCTAGCTGGAAGGTGGGGGAAGAGATAAATACCCTTCCACATGTTCTTCAATTTGTCACTCTTTCCCAGAAAGAAAACTAAAAGAGTAAATAGCACTTGAAACTACATTTGTATCAGTCCATTCTTTGATGCTGTTGTGTCTGCCATTTCCCCTTCACTCTACATTTTGATTGTAAGTATTCTGGGTAGGAACTTAGGTTTTGCTTATGTTACTCCATAAAGCAGTATTTAAGATGGATGCTACTAATAAAAAATAAGATTTATAATCCTGTTGCTAAAGCAGAAACTTCCATCTGTTTGCCTGATCATTAATTCTTACAGAAGTAGAAAACAAACTGTCCCATGTCTGCTGGGTGAATTCCAAGGTCAGGCCAATTCAGCCTAGGGAAAATCCCCACAGCCATCCCAACTGTCTGTATAAACACCCTCCAACTTCTGCAGATGGTCTTCAGAGGCAGAGCAGTAAACACTGGGAAGGTCCCTCCCTATGGGGACTTCCATGATATAAACGTTTCGCTCTTTGGCCAGGGTCATCCCATGAAGCTCACTAGTGAGAAATTCAGGACAGATAATCACATAGTTAAACTGAAATCCATTTCAACAAGATACAATGACAGTGACCAGTGACCGGTTTGGGTGGCTTTGAAAGGGACTGGACAAATCCATGGAGGAGAAGGCCATCAATAGCTACTGGTCCTGGCTAGATGCAACCTCTAATATCATGGGCACTCTGCTTACCTGCTCTGGAGAAAGCATGCAGGAGGCACTGCTGCAGTCACATTCTACTTGTGGGTTTCCTGGTGGCACTGAATGGGCAGAACACTGGACTAGATCCAGCAGGGATCTTCTTCTGTTCTTAGGGATTAGCATTCTTGGAATGACCTTCTGTATCTCTTGGGCACCCGGTGTCCTTGGTCACAACAGAGTATGGAACAGATGGAAAAGAAAGAGCAGTGACACAGCTTCCTCTTCTGTGGGAATTCGGTGGCCTGGGAGAGCCAGGTTGTTTTTTAATTCCATAAGGCTTCTGTCAATAGTGATCACAGCTTGTTGACTACCTTCAGTGGTACACATGTGGCTAAATGACCAAATAGGGGACATCCGGCCTTCCAGAGGCATTTGGAGAGTTATGTATGTAGCTGCATGTAATGTTCTGTTCTTGGAAACAAAGAAGGTAATCTGAAGGTGATATAAATACAGCTGGCCCATGGAAGGAATGCTAAATGTGGGACTGTCATCCTGTAGAGCTTTCCTGGGCCATGAGTCTTGTTGGAGGGCAAGTCGGCAGCTTGATTGGCTGTTATCCTGAGTTTCTGTATCTCATCAGAACATGGGGCATTCTTCCAAATGAAGTTATACTCCCAGATGTGCCAAGGTGAATCCAGGTGGCTCTAGGTCTAGTTGCACATGAATTCATGTCTTTTGTACCACTTTTGTCATGCCTGAACTCAGAGGAGGAGCTCGAGATCCCAGAAGAACCCAGGAAGAGCACCACAGAGCAGCCTGTGCCAGAAGATAGACAGGAGATTGATGGCTACACATCCATCCACACATGATGCATGGGACTCTACCTTGGAGGAAAAGGCAGAGTGACACCTGGTCTCTCAGTCTTACTCCTCTCAGGAATAAGACCTGAGTAACCCTCTAAGGAGGAGGGTCCATTGCCAAAGCAGGACTCCTTTTAACAGAAGGTCTGTGATGAACCGCAGTGGAGCCCCAGGCTTTGGTTCTAGTCTAGTCACTGCTGGAAATGATGCCTGACCCATGCTGCTCTGACTTTGGTCCATAACTGAAATTTCATACTACCGTGTGAGGTCACGGGCATTCCCACACTGGAGGAATGCAAGAGGCAACTGGGCAGCCATCTGCCAGGGATGCTTTCATGTGGAGTTCTGCATTTGGCAGGAGGTTGGACTCAATGGCCTCCTAGACCCTTTCCAACTCTACTGTGAATCTGTGACCTTTGGGCTTCTATCAGTCTCTGCTTCTTGGGCTGCATTTGCACCTCACTGCTTAGACCTTGACTGTGCCTCAAACCTTTCTCTTGGAACCCTTGCCTGGTATTCTGCCTTACAATTAACTATTTAGCAAATAGTAAATTGAGTGCTCCTGCCTAGAACTGCCTTTTGGACTGATCCTTCTGAGCCTGACCTTTGCCTGTTTTTTTGACTTGCCATTCTGTGTAGCTCTTATCACTGAATCTGACCTTGGCAAAGCAGGACAATCTTCGGATGCCCCTCCATAGATGGAGACTGCATATGCCAGATTAGACATGGCACTCGGTGTGTGGCATTACAACAAAAAGGGAAGGAACTGGATGCACAGCTACTGTTTTCTGGTGACGTCTCCCCTGAGTGCCTTCATGCCAAGGAAAATATGTCCACACGGAAAGTTGGATATTCAGGTTGCACTAGAAGCCTTGCTAAATAGCTGTATTCTTGTACGGAGAACCAGTCATTCAACTGAGCGCCCACCTGCAGCCCTGACACAGGTTTTATCACTTCAAGGCAAAGCTAGGCCCTGGCTTTTTGGGTTGCAAATGAAACCATGGTGCTATCAACTGACTGCCTTCCTGCTATCTTGAGAGAGAGGAGCAGATTTCTGTGCGCTTCCTCTACCGACAGAGGCAGGAGAATGTCGGATGCAGCCTTCTTCTGACTCGGGCCCCTCGCGCTTCGGACCTGGTCATGGCACTGAGTGGCAGGGGCTTTCCAGAGCTGCAGGCAGGATTCCTTAGAAGTGAACCTCAGAGCTGCTGCAGCCAGAGGAGGGGCTCTGCTACTCAGCTGTGGCCGATCCCATAAAGTTAGGGCAGTGGCAGGATGCTGCCCTCCCTGGAACCGGAGCGTTCCTACCGAGCTTGGTGTTGTTATGCACTTCCTAGCAGTGTCTTTCCTGAGCTTCATGCAGAAGATCTGGAGAATTTAGCAGGGACCTTTTGCATGCAAAGCATCTATTCTACTTGTAGGCCACAGGTGACACAGTGAATGCGAAATCTTCCCTATAAAACAGGTGCAAATAACCTTGCAGGGGAATGTTCTCCTCCTCTGTTTTGCCTATGGGGTTTTTAGTGCAGACTTTACATTTTGAATATATGTTCAGGCTAAAGAAGGCTTATGCTTTTGTAAGCAAGAGGTGTTAAAATAGTGTACAAAATGGATTTCTGGCAAGTAAAGAGGAATTATTTGTTAGTCTTTGTGCAATGTACTTGAAAAAGCAAAACATAAAAGGTTAAGTGAAATGGTGCAGTATAACATAATTTCTCTGCGGTGCAGAAAGACCACCTGCAGTATTTTGGTCAGGTTGGCCAGATATGCACTTGCTTAAGGTATAAAAATAACACTATTTTTTCTTTTGAAAAATCCCATGCTGAATGATTTTGTGACTTTGCTTTTATATGTAAACATTGCTTGCTTCAGTTTATGTTAAAAGAGAGATCAAAGTATCTGCATAGCATCTCTCCCTAATTTGCAATGGCATTTGTAGTTTAAGCACAAGAGAATAACCTAAAACTTCTGAAGATATGCCATTTTAAAAGTCTTGCATCATTTTATTCTCTCATCTTACCCACTCCTGCCTCTTGACACCATCTCTAACTGAAGATTGAATCTTGGGTTCTTTATGGGTAAATTTCCATCCTGTTCTTTAAAGTACTATGATCAGTTATTTTCAACTAAGTGAAAAACAGAGAATTTCAAAACACCTTTTCAAAGAACAGGAAGCAGGTTTGAATTGTTTCCTCATACTCTCAGAGCTTAACTACATGATACACTCCCAGTGAGAACATGAACCACATAGCCTATTCAGAAACTGAAATACTCCTCTCGCGGTAGGATGAAAGAGCAAGGGGATTCGCTGTCAGGCTCAGAGGAGAGGAACTAGTGCCTGATTGCCTATCTCTACGTCTTCCTTTTCTCAGGGAGCTGTAAGGGTGGGAGTTAGAAAATGTTAGCTGAGTTTCGCACCAAGAATATAGCACCATGTTCCTTTTCTTTCTTATGATTTGTCTTTAGATAGCATTACACCGATGTGGCAGAATTTAATAATTTGTTTGAAATCTGAGTTTATGTATTAAGATTTCAGCATTTTGGTTATTTTTATGTATTTTTAAATCCTGCCATTTTCCTGTAAGGAAGCCAAGGCATCTTGCATAATCTTTTTCCTCTCCACTCTGTCCACACAACAGCCTTGTAAGGTAGGTGAGGCAGAGAGTCAGTGACTGTGTTCGGAAATCCCAACGTGAACTTTGAACTTCACGTCCAAATAGGGCTAGAACCCACATCTCTCAAGTCTCAGTCCAGTATGCTGTCTCTTCATATACAGACTTTACATTTTGAATTTACTTGAAATATATGTTCTGGGTGAAGGAGGCTTATGCTTTGGTAAGCAAGAGGTGTTAAAACAGTCTACAAAATAGATTTCTGGCAAGACCAAGTAAAGGGGAATTACTTGTTAGTCTTAGAAAAAGGAAAGCAGAAAAGGTTAAGTGAAATGGAGCAGTATAACATAATTTCTCAGTGGCACAGAAAGATCACTGCTTACTAATTTTAGTAAACACATAACTAGAATCGAACAGTTACTTTAATAAATGATAGCTAAGTAGGTTGCTCTGTGTGTGTGAGAGAGGGGGGGAGAGAGAGAGAGAGAGAGAGAATTGGGTAACCAAGACTACTGATAATGCTGAAAGTACAAAATCTGTTTTTGCGAGGTAGGGGAACATTGACATTTGAAACCAAAAGAGGCATCTTACACGACGACGCTGAGACTGGTTCTTGTGTGTGGGGGGAGAGTACAACAACGTCATGCTGATGTGAAAATCCTGGCCGCACACACAACCTGCAGGGTCCTTCTGCTGTAACTGCTGCAGAGATAGATCCCTTGGAGGCATCATAACCATATTAAGGGGCTTATTGATGGGGACGTGGTGGAATACCATTGGTGGCACCATCTCATACCCTTACAGCAGGCAGACATAACATGTGACCTTCCAGGACGAATGCTGTCCACCTGCCCCAGAATTAATGGCCCTATCACTGCCAGCCAACTTGGCCGTCCCCAGGAGGTAGAGGCAAGAGGAGGCCTACCCAGTTCCTAGTAGGGCACCAGGTATGGTGGCCTTCAGTTCGGTGGATCAGATGTTGCACAGTTCTGAAAGATATAAAGAAGGGTTACCCACCAGACCTCCACTGAACAGAAACAGGCTGCTGTTTTGGGAACCAGACAATTCCAGTTGGCCTTTCTTTTTCTTCCTATCGGAATCTCTTTCCTTCCTGTGGGACACTTGGGCCCTGGGGCCAACTTCAGACTCCCAAGGCAACACCTTCTTTTTTCTAACCACTGACCATTTGGTGGTTTTCCAGCTGCTGTTTTCTGCTGCTTTTGTCCTTGTTCTGAAAGATGATACAAGGTTCAGACAGCTTCAGCTGTGGTAGGAAAAATCACTGTTTGTGGCTTTTATTCTTAAAAATATCTTCAGTTTCTACTACTTAGCTGGAAAACTATGGCATGTACAATATTCCTGACTTATGTGCCTACAAAATATGGTGGTCTTCTGGTTTGTGTGTTAATTATTATGCTATCAATATGAACAATTAATAATGTTCTGTTGACCCACTGAGCCTGCAGTGGAAAAACTATTGTTAAATTGACATAGTCCTTAGGAGTAGAGACAAGTGTGCAATTAATACAGATTGTATTTCACAGCCATCTATATAACTGATTCTAGAAGGAAGAACAACACAAAAATCTATGGAGATGTTAGAACAGACACAAATAATAAATATGAAACTGTGTAAGGTTTTCATAAGTATTCCTCTGTGGCCTAAAAAGAAAGAAAGAACATGAGCTGGAAGCTTCCTGTTTCTCGCTTCCACTCAAGTCTGAATAGTATAATTTGGGGTGGATCCTCTTACAAGTGTCCCATAAAGATGTGCATCATTTTGTTTCTCATGAATAAATGCCTCCAGTTATTAATTGTATACAACATCACATTCTGTGTATTCCATTCTTTCATGCTTTGTTTTTCACAGTTGCTGCTAATTTACAAAAAATAGTAGATGACCCCAAGGCCTTGAAAACATTAACCTTTAAGCTGGTAAGTAAAGTATGGTTGGCTATTAAAATAATGTAAGTAAATAGAAAGCAATTACTGATCTTTTCAGCCCAAGGTTTTCTTAATTTCTGGTGCTTTATTAGCTGCCTTTCTGCTTTGAACACTGACCTTTTCAACATTTTATTACCCTACACAAACTGAAAGAGGGAAGTGGAAAACACTTCTAATGGCCTTTTTCAAATTCACTAACTGGAAAGAATGGTGCGAGCAACATTAAAATAAAATAAAATAGCAGTACTTCAAAGTGTGATGTGCTTGTAAAGCCTGGCATATATTTGATCTCTGCAAATTCCACAGCTGCTCTTGAAGTCCTGTGACTATTGATGCTTCAAGTTTATTGGTGATATTTTGCTCTGGGCCAGTTGAACCCATGGGTGTAGAGTAGCTTGTTTCCCAATAAGGATGGCAAAATCTGAAGACTGATGGCACCCTTCTGCAGTTCCCAAAATTGCTGTGTTTGGGAACTGCAGAAAATACTGTACCCTACAGTAATGGGTGCTGTGATGGGCTTGTGCACCATACTTCTTTTTGAGCTGCTGGTGAAGGTACTAAAGTTTATACTGCAACCACAGTTGTTCCTTCTTTTTCTGTCATATTGGGCCAGATTTGCACATACGTTTACTAAATCTCTGTGCCCTGTGACTTGCAGAAAGCACTCTGAATTGTTTCTGCAGGTGCATGTTGGATTGTATCCCAAAACAAGTTAACTTGAAGAACTTTCCAGAAGAGAGGTTTTCCATTCCGCCCCCTTTCTTGCAGCCTCTTGTGCAAAACTGAGCAGCACAAGGAAAGGGTGGGGGCTGCTACTTGGGGATCCCCTGAGAAAGAGGAAAGCTGCTGAAATCAGAGGGAGAGCTGCCCAGTTACAGGAGCTTCCTACAGCCCCAGCAGCCTCCTGGGTGCTTCCCTGCATCGTTCAGCAGGAGCCAGTTATGTCCTGCTGTATCTCGGGAGGAGGGCTGGAAGAAGTAATGCGGAATTGCGAGAATTCTCATGTACCTCGAGAGATGGCTTCTTTTGCAGCGGCGACCGATCCGTGAATTCTGTGGGAGTGCTGTGTAGGTGAACGTTCCTCCTGCATCGCTGCATTTTGTTTTAACAAGCCAGGGCTGGGGGGGAGTTCTGCCTGCTCACGTAATGGAAGATCATTTGGGAAGTAGCAATGGAAAGTAGTAGAGCTCCCATGTATAGCCCCTTCCTGCATGTCCCCTGTAAGGCTCTCTCTTGGAATTGAGACTCTGCAGTGCAATTTCAGCTGTAAAAGATATGCAACTAACTGAAATCACAAGGCATCTTTACTGCATGATAACATTGAGCTTCTTTATTGATGCAGTCCCTTAAAATGAGTTGCCGTTTCTCGACGCTTTCCTGTGAAAATTAGCAAAATTACACAGAATAACACAAATGTTTGTGTTTATTTTGACAGAATTGATTTATGTATGCATACCTTTATGAAAGTTATATTGCAAAAGAGCATTATTTTATATTGCATATTTACGGGAAAGGTCCAAACAAAAGCAAAAATGCTAGCCAGAGCATATAAGATGGAATTGTACCTAAAAGAGTAACAACAACAACAAACAGCCACAAAATCTTTTTTTCTTTTATTTTTATATTACATTTATTTGCTGCATTTTCTCCCCTCTTCCACTTCCTCCTGTCCATTTTATCCTCAGAACTACCTTTTAATGTAGATTAAACCTAGGTCAGGACTGGCTCAAACTGAAATTCATGGCAAGTGGCAAGCAAAACCCAGATCTCACGAATCCCAGTCCAACACTCTAACCACTACACCACACTGTTTCTCTGTTGGTGTAGTGTTTCTAGGCATAGAAGTAATCTATGCAAGGTTAGCTTAAAAGGAGCAGATTCACAGAGTAATTAGTACATGTTACCATTCCTTCCAGCACTGACAAAGAACAGTTAATTGCAGAAGTGCTAAATTTATGTTCTTGACAAATTTATTAGTCTCTGTTGTTTAAAGTGTTGGACAACTGTAGATTATTTTTCACAAGGGTAGCATGTCCAAAGTAGGGAGAGGGCTGTGTGTATCTTCAAGCTGTTGGTTTAATTACTAATATTGATTCAACTATCTGTCTTCTTGATAAAACAAATGTGAACTTTAGCTAATGAAGGTCAGGTGCCTTAACACAGTTGTGCTCACTAGGAAATCAGCTGACACAGACTTCAAGTGGGGGGAAATGCCAATTATTCCATAGTAAAGACACTGTCTTTTGTTTTAAGATGTATGGAACATGATTTCATACTTAAATGAATCAAACTCCCATAGAACACTCAGGTAAAACCAAGATTTACATGGGGAGCCTTGTTGCTGCTACTAATTTCAGGTATGAATGGCTTTATATCAGGGATCCCCAACGTGCAGCCCGCGGGCCACATGCAGCCCCCCCAAGCTCTTCCCATGCGGCCCTCCAACCTGCATGCTACTGCTCTCACCCTCTAGGCATTTTCCCTCAGACCCTCACTGGTCTTCCTGCCTCAAGCCGCATCATCTACTGCTGTTTTTCCTGTCCCTTTCTTTAAAAATTTCAACACCAACATGGTATCTTCTGGCCCCCATGGCTCCTTCTGTCAGCCCCCTTTGGTCTTATCCCCCATGCTAGCATTTTGGCCATTCTGGGTGCTTTGCTAGCCAGCAAAGCTCAGGTACCTGCACCACTCTGGGTTTTTTTTTAACCACTCCCCCTCTCCATGCATCACCACACTGAAGGCTATACGTGTGTGTAAGAAAGATAATAGCTGTGTGGATGGGCACAGAAGTCTGGCCTGCTTTTGCAAAACAGGCTGGAAAAGGAGAGTAAAGGTCTGGTAAGTTTGCAAAAAGGATACGTGTTTTGCATACTGAACATTTCTAGAATCTTCACCCGCCAAGGCTCCTCCAGGTGGCTTCCAAGGCTTTTGGTGAGGTGGTTGCTTCAGGCAAAAGAATCCTTCCTCAACAAGAGTTGGTTGCTCTGACTTTTTCCCTTGCTTGCTTTAGCTAACACGTTGCTCAATGAATTGCTCAGCATAGTAGGCTGTTCACTGATGGTGAATTGGTTAAGAAGTGCAGGGTTAAAGTAATGGAGGAAATAAGGTATCTTGCGCATCACTTTATCTGCATCTACAATCACCAGGTGGGTTGAAGAACTAGAAGAAGAGCTGCTTATGTCTCTGACTGTCAAGGCAAAAAGTTTTGATGGTTTTTCTTTGGCATTAGATGAGAGCAATGACATTATAGACACTGTTCAACTACTAGTATTGATCAGGGGGGCTGGTAGATTCCAACATCAGAATTACAGAAGAATGGTGTGCACTGCAGAATTTGACAGGCACTGCAACTGCAGGGAACCTTCTTGAAGATGTGTGAATCAGTAGCAAATCTTGGTGTGAGTTGGCATAAATTGAAAAGCAGCACAACTGATAGTGCAAGAAATTTGGTAGGAAGTAAAACTACTGTAGTTGCAAGAATCATTGAAGAGTTCTTGAAATTAAACTGCATGCATCCCATGCAATTTCACTGCATCATCTGTCAGCAAGCCTTCTTCGGGGAGAAAGTGTCATGCATATTGTTGTATCCAGCATTAATTACAACCAGCATCATGGCCTTTCTCATTGTCAGTTTCAAAGTTTTCTCTCAGAGATATATGCAGAATATGGCGATGTATTGTACCATGCAGAAGTCACAGGGCTTAGCAGAAGCAAAGTCTCCAATTTTTTTCCAGTCTTTGTGATGAAGTTGATGTCTTTCTCAAGGAGAATGGAAAAGGTCAAGAAGTACTTTCTGACCCTGGATGGATTTTTGATTTGGCCTTCTTAACTGATACCACAGAGCATCTGAACACATTGAATCTAAGGTTGCAAGGAAAAAAGAAAACTTGTGTGTAACATGTATTCTGAATTGAAAACTTTTGAAGCAAAACTAAATGTTTTTGTGAAACAAGTTAAAGTAACTATTCAAACTTCTCATGCTTCAATGAACTAAAATTTGAGGAGGATGGGGATTTACAGTTCAAAGTTGAAAGACACATCAAAGCCCTGAACCTATTGCAGGTGGAATTCCAGAACACAATCACTGATTGCCATAAGTGTGGAAAGGAAATATGAATGTTTCAGAGTCCATCTGAAGTAGCATCAGAAGATGCAAGTAACCTTTTTCAGATGGAACTAACTGATTTGCAAACTAGGGATCATCTCAGAGACATTTACAAATAAAATAGTCCATTAGATTTCTGTTGTGGTCTAGCTAAAGAAATGTGGTTCAGGTATGTTCACAGACTTGGGCACCACATACATCTGTAAACAAACTTCTTGCAAGATGAAAATTTTGAAATCCAAGTATAGGTCAAGACTTACAGATGAACATGTGCATGCCTGTAAGGATGTCTGTCACAAACCTTGGGCATTAATGCCTTGGCTAACAGAAAACAGCCACAAAAATCACACTGACTAGGTAAGCATGTTTAGCTAGATAAAAGGATTACAATAGAATATTGATAAAAGGATTACAGTAAAATATTGTTCCATAATGGATTGTGTTCAAGTTAACAATTCTTCATTGACCTCTGAATATTTACTTTTGATCTAAATCAGTAGGTTAATAATTTTGTTGCACTTTTACTTAAGATGTGACCCACTTTAGATATTGGGCTCTCTAATGTGACTCCATGTTCCAGAAGGTTGGGAATCACTGATTTATATCGTCTCCACTATTGCAGATACCTTCCTTCCTACATGCATGCAGATTTTATTTCTTCCTCATACAAGTAAAAATTATCCTGCATGCAGAGTAAGCAGGTACCATTTCTTGGCAGAATCCTTTAGTCTTCAGGGTGACCTAAAGCAGGGATGGCAGAAAGAGGCTCTTCAGAGGTTTTTGAATGCTAGTTCCCCCAGCATTCCCAACCATTGGCCATGCTGACCAGCGCTTCTGGGAGCTGAAGTCCAAACATCTAGAGATTTACCTTCAGCTCACCTGTAACCTAAGTCCCCTGTCACACTTTGCCACATAGGTGTCAGATGTGTCAGTGGGAAAAGAGACACGACTGAAAAAATAGCAGATCTCAAAAGCTAGCTGCGTTGTAGCCCCAACACTTCAACTTGAGCCACGGAGCTATAGTTCTAAGACTAAACAGAAGCTGAGCTCATTTGTCTGTCATTCAGGTGCATATTGGCTGTAAAAAGAGGAGAGTTGTCCATGTGTGTACTGAACGTTTGTGGTGTCCCTTCTCTGCTCTTGCTCTTTTTTCAGGCTTCCGGCTGTGATGGTACCGAGATCCCAGATGAGGTAAAACTGATTGGGTTTGCTCAGTTAAGTGTCAGCTGATGCCCATCACTCCCCCCCAGCAAAATGGTGAGATTGCAAAGAGGCCAGCTTTCCATTGCAAAGGAAGATTTCCAAGCACCACACACTGAGTTCTGCTTTATTCTGTAGCAATTCACCAAGTTGGAACAAGCGAAGCCCACAGCTACACTGCTCTTGCTAACAATCCAAAAGCTACTAAATGTGTCTCTAGCAATCAGTTCGGATTTCCCTGAAGTGAAAACAGACAGATTGGAAGTGCACTCAGGTGGCTGTATCCATTGGTTACAAAAGGAGTTTTCTATCAGAGCTTTTTCTTTAATTAAAAAAATCTAGTAATAACTATTTTAGTGGATAATACCAATGCTCTTCTGTTGTATGTAGAATGAAACATAACAATACATGCTAGGGTTTATTAGCCAAACTTGAATTCCTCTTTCAAAACCAACTGTGAATCTTATTTCCCCCTTATATTTATGCATTGTGCATCCTAGCTGTAAGAATCTTTTTTCTTTCATTTCTTGATTTATGTGCTTCTTGCAGTTTAAATATGTTTCTTTCAGGAGAGTTTCAGGTTTATCTTTAAAGTATTTGTCACAATTTGTAGTTTTTGAACTGATGTAGACTTTTAGTTTTGGTTACGTTTGGTTTGTATGTCCTTTTAAAAATCTGTAATGGGATGGTCAAGGGCGTGGGAGGTGCCTTGCAGATATTAATGTCCGAAGATTGTGCCTGTGGATTGGAGCTCATCTCATTTCTAGACCCACAGTGTCTAGATCGCTGAGCAATCAGGAAGATTTACTGTAGCAGAAACTTGAGATGAATAAGTATGACCTGCATTCTGACTTGTTGGGGGAAATCTAGAAGCTGAAACTTTTAATAAACAGTTGCCATTAAGCTAAAATGCCTTTAATTTGCCCACCTCTGATTTGGCTTATCTTTAGGGGATAGGAATTGTTTTATAATGTTAAAACTTGAAGAGAATCCAAGCTTTACTTGAAATTCTGTAGAATACCCATATGAGGAGTGCAAATAATAAGAAAGGGCTTTGTGCAATGACTTAAAAGATACAAGAAACAAAATTCTGTTATGAAAATTGTAAGTACTTCTGACTGAAGTAGTTGTACGCTTAACCTGTGGCATAGATGTTTTGGAGCTAGTAAACATTAGAAGGATTCTCTAATCTGAAGCATATTTTTGGAGAAGTGGATTTCTTGGATGTTTCCTTGTTGCACCACTTCCTTGCTAAACTTAGATAAATGGCAGCTCTCTAACATATGGGAAAAATGGCAAATGTGTTATGTAAGACTTATTTATAATGCCTTGTCATAAATGTTTGAGGTGTTCTAGAGCCATTTGCATACAACTCAGTGTAATTTCATTCCATTCTATTGTTTACACAATGATTACTCAAAGACTGACTGCAGAGGTAAAAGGAAAATAAAACTGTATTGCACAAACAGGCTGTTGACTTGGCTTTAATGATCAGTCCGCATTACTTTAATTGCTCTCTCTACCACTACCCATCCCTCCATTGCTTTCTTTGTTGAGATTTAAATTGTAAGCTTCTTTGGACATGGAAAAACTCTTTTTGCCAGTCTGTAAGGCATCATTCCCATTCACATACCATATAAATAAAATGATATGTATATATTTGGCGTAATGGGGGAAGGTTCCTAAGTATTTTGGCTGCTTCGTGAGTCCTAGCATCACATGCCTTGCATTTGAGTAAAGCTGTAGTTTTCTTTCTGGCTTTCACCTTTAGGCTATTATATTACTGACATTATAGGATTTATGGGGCTGTATATATTAATGCAAACACTGAGGGTGTGATTATGGAAAGAACTTGCTTTAAATGCTTAGATACTCTTTTGCTTTTGGACTGATTTTTGGCATTGAAAACCAGTTCTGATGTGAGCTCTAGAGATCCAGGCTCAAAGTCACAACTTTGGGCTGGTTGTAAATGGGCTTATCCATTTTTAGCTGCACACTACCTTCTGTCCTGTAAAATAGCCATCAGTTGAGTCTTTGATAACACTGCCTGCCTTCTGCCAGTATGGACCACTCTCTTGGGGACTTTTTTCCCTTTTAACCTGTAGCATCAAGGGCTTAAGATCATGGATTTTCTAAATTTTGACAGAGGTTAAACATTTAAATCCATGATGCGGGCAGCCAGGCCAGCTCCTTCTGGAAACTTGCAAGGCTATTTACAAAGCCTTTTTGCATGCTTCCAATGTCCTTTATCTGTTTTTAAGTGCAACCAGTAGAACAAAGGTACATTCCAGGAACTTGAGGATCTAAATATACATGTGTGCCTGGATGGTATTATAAAGAATTTCTGCTCCAGTTTACTTTTTGTTGCATTTTCTTTCCTTCTACTAGTCTTTCTTCTCGAAAGGAATGCTCAGCTCTGCGCCCTTCCAGCCTCAGCAGTGCCATAGTGTAAGGGACCCCCACACCATGGAATAGATCCCATGCCTCCTCATTTATTTGGCCTCAGACATACATGTGTGTATTGGATTTTTTACTGAAGTGTCCAATCCCTCCCTTGAAGGCCAACAGGGGCTTTCTTTTCAACGCCTGCCTCAGTGCATTGCGGTAGCATTGTTCCAAGGCTCACACTAAATCCCAGGTGGGCAGGTCTTAGCCAATTCTCTTCCAGACCAGGCAAGCAAGAAATACAGCAATGTTTTTTGGAGGCACTTGTGAATGGGAGGACAAGTGTGCACTGACACACTTGTGTCAGAGCCTGTATTTCAGCAGTAAATAACTGGATACTTTCCAGAGTTGTTGGTCTTCAGCTCCAGTCAGTATGGCCAATGGTGAGGAATTATGGGAGATGTAGTCAAACACATGGCACCTTCTCTCTCGCAGTTGTTGCGGAGTTACTTGACAAACCTTCTTTACCCATACCAGCCTGCTGGCACTGTGAAGTTAGTGGAGATCTGTACCCTCTTTAAAGGCAGTCATCTTGGTGAACAGCAAGCAATGGACTTGCTCCGCCGTGGCTCCACACTTGGGGGACACATGGCCAACTGGGGTGCATCAGGCCCATCATTATGCCCCTTGAGAAGAGCTCTTAAGATTTCTCTGGCCCTTTCTCAAAGCAGGTTTTATGGACTGCTAAGCCAAGATGGTTTTAGTTACAGTTGTTTAAATATTTATTGGAATGTTGTATTTTACTGAAAAGTATGTGTTTAATTTTTAGCTGTTTTTTTAAATTAATGGCTGGCTTTGAAAGTTTATTGTTGTTTGCACTTTTATCAAGAAAAAGCTTCCTTGAGAGGGTTTCCCCTGAACAGCGGCATGCAAATATCTTAAAATAAATAACAGGCCAGATTAGTAGAGTTTGCTGCAGAAGGAAAATAATAAAGCTATTTAAATGTTACTGTCATGGGAATAAGGCCACTACTGACTACCTCAAAATGAGATTAAAAGCTGCTACGTGGCACATGCAAATGATCAAGAAGAACTAATCTCACCTGAAGTAAGCTTATGAGCAGGAAATCAAACACATTTGGCCTTCTTGATCAACCAGTTGACAATTTTGCTATTGGGTTTTTTTTTAGCGGGAAGAATTTAGATGAATAAGCAGGAACTGTACATTAGCACTAATGTGGCATACTAGTCTTGTGCAAGAAGTCTCCCGATTGCTGTGATGCCTGTGCATTAACAACAGACGAAGGTGCTGCCTATTTCTAAGCATATTCAGAAGTATTTTCCTCTGTTTTCAGTGGAATGCACTGGGGAGTGTTTCCTCAGACGTGTGTGTGTGTCCCCGTGTGCATGCTTCAGGAAAGACAAGTCGTGCCAGAAGAATGTCTTCCCAACAAGTTGCCTTCCCCAACGCCATCTTTGTTACTGGTTCACTGCAGGAGCCTGAACTTCTCACATGCAAATGAATTGGAAATGTAAAAGAGGGATGCAATTCTATGCGTGCTTGCTTAAAACCAAACTCCATCAGTAGGACTGCCTTCAGAGAAAATGCATTGAGGATGGGAGCTTTAATATGAAATAGGCACACAGGACAAAGCTCTGCCCTTCCTCCCCTCCTGTGTATTTACTTTGGTGCTAGCACAGAAGCTTATTTCTGGGCTAAAGCCTTCCCTGCTTATGTATACCAGGTAGGGGGCATTGGGGCAGGAGGTGCTGCTGACCGCTGTGTGGATTAATTATGGTTGGACTAGGTGGTCCCTTGGTCTGATCTGGCAGAGCTCTTCTTACGTTGTTGCCCTTGCTGTTCTTCTTCCTCTTAACGGCAATGCTGTATGCATTGCCTCCAACAGCAAAAATCATTGTTGAAGCTACTTAAATGCACAGTGAAGCTACTTAAATGCAGGAATCAATAATGAATAGAAGAGAAAGAAACCAAAATCCATATAAACCATACCAAAGATGAGCAACAACACCACCACCTGCCAGCTTAAGACCAGCGTTGTGGCTGCTTCATGATGGCTCACAATTCTCCCTGCAAGTACTCTTGTGACTGAACAGACATGCTTCGCGATCAGTAATGGAGTTATGCAAAGCCACATGTTGTGCTTGCTTACATCTTATGTACCTGCACTTTGTCTCGGTCTTTCTGGACAAAGGCAGGTGGAAAAGAGCACCTTTGTTGTTGTTGTTGTTAGTCGCGAAGTCGTGTCCAACCCATCGCGACCCCATGGACAACACTCTTCCAGGCCTTCCTGTCCTCCACCATCCCCCGGAGTCCACTTAAGCTCACACCAACTGCTTCAGTGACTCCATCCAGCCATCTCATCCTCTGCCGTCCCCTTCTTCTTTTGCCATCTATTGTTCCCAGCATTAGGCTCTTCTCCAGGGAGTCTTTCCTTCTCATTAGGTGGCCAAAGTATTTGAGTTTCATCTTCACTATCTGGCCTTGTAAAGAGCAGTCAGGGTTGATCTCCTCTAGGACTGACCGGTTTGATTGCCTTGCAGTCCAAGGGACTCACAGGAGTCTCCTCCAGCACCACAATTCAAAGGCCTCAGTCCTTTGGCGCTCAGCCTTCCTTATGGTCCAGCTTTCACAGCCATACATTGCAACTGGGAAAACCATAGCCTTGACTATACGCACTTTCGTTGGCAGGGTGATGTCTCTGCTTTTTAGTATGCTGTCTAGATTTGCCATAACTTTCCTCCCCAGGAGCAAGCATCTTTTAATTTCTTGGCTGCAGTCTCTGTCTGCGGGGATCTTGGGGCCCAGGGAAATAGGAGCACCTGCGATTTGCAAAGATGTCCCATGTTATCCTGGCCTGCATTGCCTCATGAGGCTTGCTCTTTTGAGGAATCCTCCTGTGAGCTGCCCCACCCGTTTGTTGCTTACAGCAGTGGCTGGCTGGGCATTTTCACTGACCAAAGGAAAGTGCAGGGGCGTGGAAGGGATGGAGTCATCCGCTCAGCAGGTGTCATTTCCTTAAGCCTAGAACCCTGAGGTTTCTAATGGTGAACCTTCTATTTTTCTGGTAACTCAACATAACTGCAAGGGACTTTAATAAGCAAATTCCTTTAATAAATAATTACACAGAAATTTGATCTTAACAAAATAAAGAGCAGAAATATTCACCAGAAGAAAGTTTGAGGGGAAAATGGGGAGAAATGTCTTGGCTCAGATCTGCAACAGATGAATCCAGGGTAGGCTGAAGTTTGTCCAGACCTCCTGGCAAGAAAACACATTCACTTATGCAACGGTTGTTTCTAACCTTGTGCACGCTATTTTTCAGCTCTTGTTGCAGCCCACTAGAATTTGTGTAGTACGGTCTGCTTCTTATTCACTGTATTTCTCACACAGTAATGCGGCCTCCTGGTTAAATTGCAGCATTGCAAGAAGCTCGTCGACAAGTTTGACAATAACAGGCCACATGTTAACACCTAGAGAGAGAGAAAGTATATCAAGTAGGAAGTCGGCACCATCCTGAAAATTAAAGTACAGCAGCTAATGCTCACTTGTTCATTAATTTAGATCAATGCAGGGGCAAAAAAACTTTCCAGGATTTTCCTGTATATATAGATAGGAACATATCAATCCTGTTCACTTTAATACTAAATATAGGGCAAATAACCACTTTCTGATGAATCTAATTCCACAAGATTTACGTAGCTAGAGAGAAACACAAAACTGAAGTGTGCAGAGAGGGCTCCATGCAAATGTGAGCACCTCCATGCAGAAAAGTCCTGTGCGACTTCATGCAGCCCTGGGAGGTGGTGGACAGTTTTGGGCTGGATCCAGACAATTTTATCTGAGCCCTGGTGCCCCTGCTCACTTTCTGCAGCAGATATAGCAGAGTGTTTGCTCTCAGCTTCACTGGAAAGAGGATTCCCCACACCCTCCCACCCATTCCACTCTTCTGTGTAGCATTTCTTGATTTGGGATTCATTGATGGGTTTGCGCCAAGAGAAAACAGGACAGCCGACCGTTTCCCCACTACTCACTACTCCCTGCTTGTGCCTCTTAA